CGTACGTTACGTTACTTACGTTACGTAACGTAACGTAACGTACGTTAGTACGTAGTGTCGTACGTACGTGTAGTAGTAGTGTGTGTGTGTGTGTTGGGGGGGGGGGAGAGAGAAACAAGAGCAAGAGAGAGAGATATATTTGATGCATGGAGGAGAGAAAAATGTGTGTAAAGAGAGAGGGGCTCAATGGTGTTTAAATATAAAGAATTCTTTGTCCTATTTTGATTAGAATTCCTTCGTTAAGTATGCCTATCTTTTAAGTATGCCTATCTTAATGACTCAGCTTAACCAATAGGAATTTGTTGGGTGCAGTTGGCATATAGATGCATCCGTAGCTGTAGATGTAAGGTGCACACTTCAAAATTTATCATGGTATATGATTTTGATGTAAAAAAAAATGTCCTTAGGATTATCTCGAACTCTATTTTTATATCTAAGTATAAAATTTTAAATTTCAAAAATGGTTAAAATCAAGTAGATGTATAAACATATGAAAATCTTGAAAATGGATGGTGTAGATAATATGTTGTAAAATACATTATTTTTTAGACTTAAATCCTTTTTATTTATCATGGTCATACATATCGATGTCGAGATGATCAATCAAAGGGTTTTTCAATATTAAAACTACCTTTTCCGATGGATTTTTGAGGTGCATTCGTAGTTCTACATTATAAGGTTGCATCTTTATATAAACTTTTTTCATTTATGAAATCGTTGAGGTGAGAGATTTAAATTTGAGCCATCTATCCCATAAATTAGAGTCATGATTTAGGAGGATAATTAAAAACTTTATCCGCTTATTATTTTGAACCATGTTCAACTTTTAGTTTAATAAGGATTATAACCAATTTAGATTTTCTAGATTTTCCTATTATCTCTTTCAAATTTTTGTAGGAAGTGAAAGACAATAATAATTTGGCCAAAACAAAGTCCCACAATAACAGGAAACAAATCTCTATTTTTTTAAAAAATGTATAACTTAAAGACAACTTAATCAAACTAGAGACCATTTAGAAATACGTGGGGCGTGTCTCTCCTGTGGACTGCAAGTGGGCCATATAGGCCACATGTTCCACTTTAACGATGGTATGTGGGAGCTGGGTCCAAGGTCCCTAACCGCCTTTCTTTATTTTAAAAGTTAACAGAAATAAATTTTAAAAAAAAGTTGAAAAAATTTCTAAAATTCACAAAAACATTTCTAATGACAAAAAATAAAATATCTACAGTACTCAAAATTTTCTTAACATTAAAGTAGGTTATCAAACACAATACGCAGAATTTATTTATGCCTTTCAGAACAAAAAATTCAATTTTTCAGAAGATTTAAAAACATTCAACTTTCTAAAAAATATCTTTTAGAAAAAATAACGCACCCTCAGGGCAATAGCTGTTTAGGAGAGACAGAAATAATACTATGATCCATATGATCATCGCAACAATATGGTCATAGTCATTGGGACCCAGTCAACCTCCACCACTGCCCAATCTATTTAAGGATGGTGATGGCTCATGTGACTATACCATTTTTATGTTCACATATGGATTACAATATGAAAAAATATTTAAAGAGACCATTTACTTTTCATAAAGGTTATCACAAACACTCTTGTCCATTAGATTTTAAATTGGGTAGTTGTAAGAGTATTATTGACTAAACTTAAAGTAAAAAAAAAATTATCGGATTTCAAGATGCATCCCAAGCCATCTTATTTGACATCTAATGGCTAGAAATAATTGCAACCTCCTTGTAACAAATATAAATGGTTTCATAGTATACAATTACTCTTGGTGATTATTTGCCAAGAGAACATTTCGCCCATTGAAACTTGAATATGTTAATTAATTGACGCATGACAATCATTAAATGATTTCATCTCCTTTTTATTCTCACTTTCTCTCAAAACTCAAAAAAGAAGCATGAAAAAGTTTTCGATCTACAAAAAAAAATTAAAGAATTTCTTCTCCTTCGCAATTTGAGAACAAGCGAGGACATGAAAGGATCTCTCTCCCTCTCTTTCTGGCAAACCCATCCACGTTTTAGGGGAGAAATATTCCTAGAGTGAAATAGAATGCTAAGTGAATGGATACACCTAAAACATACATTTTGAAATGAATGTAATAAAGTTGTAATTTTTGTTCATAGTACTATAATGCCATTTCAAAAAATAGAAATTTTGAGAATAGGCTGGGGCGTTGGCGGTAGTACCAATGAGTCCTACGATGAAGTCTCTGACTCCATTCTCACCAAAACGTACGAGCCCAAATCCCCCACTGACTTACTTTTTAACTTACCCAATAAATAAATAAATAAATAAATGGAATAATGTTCTTGATAACCATAGAAAGTCACTTAGATAGGCCAACTTGTCATTATCATAAACATGTGAACTTTTTTTCCTCAAAATGAGTAATATAAATGAGTGTTAAGGGATTCAGGAAAATATCGTACATAGAATTAGAGCTGGGTGGGCGAAGTGGCAATGTGCAACCGGTATTTATGTAATCGTCATATACCAATAAAGCTGAAGGACAAGTTCTATAGGACAGCTATGAGATTAGCTTTGCTCTATGAGGCGGAATGTTGTGCAGTAAAAAATCAAACACAGAGAACAAGAAAAGAATAAGCATAAAAAAAATTGTGTACCTCTTTCACTTTCCTCCTTGTTTCTTTCCAATATTAAAACTTTAGTTTCCTTCTGGGTAAGGAGGAAAAATGAAGATGATCTCATATCGATCTTAAACTACTGCGATGGATCTCTTCTTGTTGCTGAAGAAGATATAATGAGAGGCTTTGGCTGGGAAATGAGAGGCACCTGCCGGAAAAACCATAGTTGGCCAGAATATAAGCTTTTCCAAGTACTATGTATATTAGGGTCTCAACCACTCTTCCTCGCACTAGAAACATAACACAAGTTAACCGACTCTCTGGTTCATCGACCATGTCTCCATTCCGAGAATCATCTCAGTTTCAATAGAAAATAAAATAATTTCAAGTTAAAAAATGATATGAAATGGAGGTTTTGCTAATACGTGTGGGTGGCCATGGGGCCTCACATGTGCCATATTTTTCTCTCTCTTAATGTAATTAATAAATTATAAGGTATTTTTAATCTTTATCACTAAAAGGCTTCTTAGAGAGAATATACTTTTATCTAATGTGTAGAATATAACTACCTATCTCCTAGGAAAACGACATCTTTCCATCCCTCTATAAGTAGGGTCTATTGGCTATAGAGAGGTACATAGAGAAAACACAAAGTTCTCAATAGTTATAGAAAGCCTTGCTCTCTGCTATATATAGTCTAAC